CGGGCGCCGAACACGTCCAGCACGGCCTGGGCCAGCGGGGCCAGCGTCCCGCTCTCGTACACCTGCACCCGCAGCAGCACCTCTGCGGGCAAACGGGGTGGTTAAGGGGGACGTGGCAACCCCCCCAGGGTGGGACAACCAGGGGGACACGGCCATGGAGCCAGGGGGGTCCTGGTGGGTCATGGGGCCTGTGCTGGTGGAGCGTGGGCACCATCCAGGGAGTTCAGGGCCACTGTCCAGGGCCTCCATCCCAATGGCTTGGTGGGACCTCTCCCAGTGGGTCATGGCCACCATCTCAGCAAGTCATGGCCACCATCCCAGGGGGTCCTGGCCACCATCCCAGGAGGTCCCGAGCCACCATCGCAGCAGGTGGTGGGACACATCCTGGCAGGTCATGGCCACCCTCCCAATAGGTGGTGGGACCTGTCCAGGTGGGTCATAGGCACCATTCAGGGGGTTCTGGGCCTCCATCCCAGTGGGTGCTGGGATGTGTCCTGATGGGGGATGGTCACCACCCTCATGGGGTCACAGGTCACCATCCCAGCAGGTGGTGGGACACATCCTGGCAGGTCATGGCCTCCATCCCAACAGGTGGTGGGACCTGTCCTGGTGGATCATGGCAACAACCCTGGTGGGATACGGGCACCATCCCAGCAGATGGTGGCACACATCCTGGTGGATCATGGCCACCAGCCCAGGGGGTCAGAGGCCACCAGCCCAGGAGGTCACGGGCCACCATCACAACAGGTGCTGGGACACATCCTGGTGGATCATGGCCACCATCCCAGTGGGTCATGGCCAGAATTCCAACAGGTGGTAGGACCTGTACTGATGGGTCATGGTCACCATCCCAGCAGGTGGTGGCCACCATGTCAGCAAAATGGTGGGCCCCATCCTGGTGGGTCATGACCACCACCCCAGCAAATCACGGGCACCATCCCAACAGGTGTTGGGACCTGTCCCAGTGGGTCATGGCCTTGGTGGTCCATGGTCACTATCCTGGCAGATGGTGGGACCCATCCTGATGGGGACCATCCCAGAAGGCCATGGGCACCATCCTGGTGAGTCATGGCCACCAACCTGATGGGCCATGGCCACCATCCCAGCAGGTGGTAGGACCCATCTCAGTGACCACCATCCCAGCAGGTCACAGCCACCCCCCAGCTGGGTCACAGGTGCCCCCCAGCAGGCAACAGACACTGTCCTGGGGGATGTGGGCACCACCCCTGTGCCCCTTTCTGTGCCCACCCTGCTCCCCCTTGAAGGGGACTCATGGCCCCAGGGAGCCATGCCCATCTGGGTGGGTGCACTCAGTCACATCCCACCCCCCCCAGGGAGGGCCACCCCCCCAAGGTGCCACTCACACGTGTCACAAGTTCGGGGGGTCTCGACCCCAGCGGGCCCCACCAGCAGCGCAGGGGGTGGTCCCCCCCCCGATCCCCGCTGCAGGGCAGGGGTGGGCCCGGCT